AACTGGGATGAGGAACGGGATCCAGAGGTGCAATGAGGTGGATTTAATTTATGCTCAAGAATGATCCCCGTTTACCTCAAACCTTGTAAACTGGTTAAGTCGGTGCTCCAGCCACAGCCCTAGACTCTGCTTAGACCCTGATGGGGGAAGGAGGGTCTTCCTTAGAGGCCCCGCCCTGTCAGCTGCCCAGAGGTGATGGGAGGTGCGGCAGTGTGGCAGGGCAGCCCGCTCGCTGCTAGATGAGCTGATTTTCAAGCTAATACCTGACAGTCTTGCCTGGTTTTTAAGAGCCTCTTGCCTTAAAACATATTTGTAGCCAGAACACCATGCTTTTGGGGTAATGATTATGTGGTTTTGCATTCTGATCAACGTGGGGAGGTTAACCTGACAGCACCTGGTTTATGTAAAGGGGGCAATTATTTTACTTTAAGGTAGCTCATCCTGGGGAATGTTGAGCATTTCATTTTAAACAGGAAGCTGTGTGAGGAAAGACACTGGCAGTGGTCCCCCTGAGTCAGCGGGTGTTGGGGAGATGGGTTTTTCAGTTTTGATCACTGTTGAGTGAACCATGCTCAGCAGGGCCAGTGGTGAACCTGAGGAGGGGCGGTGAAGGATTAAAACAGACAAGAGAATATAGGTGGGGCCAGGTGGGATATTGTTCTCGGATGGAGAGACAGTGCCACAGCCTGTAAGCCGAGTCTTTATTTTATAGTCAGATCCCACCAGGCAAAGCAAGAGCGTGGTCAAGATGTTTACAATGTCCTCGCCAGTTTCTAATCTACTTAATTTCATGCACCTGAGGACTCTATCAAGCTTTGTTTTGGCAACACTTGCCGCACCTCCCGCAGCCCACATCACTCAGCCACCTGGGACCACAGGTTCGGACCATAAGGTCAAGCTTACAACCATAGCCTTTGGCTATAAAGAACAAAACTCTGGTTATTAACAAAACAACAACAAAATAATGTCAGTGCAACACAGACACAAGAGAGAAACCAAACCACAGATATGTTAACATTTTCAGGACTATTTCCACAAAATGTAAGTTTCTTTTGCTGCTGGTGTATATCTACTCAGAGTCCTCAGCTTTAGCTGTGCAAGACTTTACAGAAGACTGGCAGCTAACCAGCGCTAGCATAGCCAGAAACATGGCTGAAGGAGTAGCTTCCACTCCCTGCTTTTCTACCATCTGCTGGGCCTCAGTCATTAACTTATTCAGCTGACCCATGTTGGCACCTCAGCCCCTTGCGTAGCCTTCATTATCTTCTTCTGCATTGCGATCATCAGGGCAACTCTCAGTCTTTTGAACAGAGGGACAAGGAGCTTCTCTGGGTCCATCGTGGTGATGCACCCAAATATTTTGGGTGCAATACTCTGGCACCCAAATTGGCTGCACTGCTCCCTCTGGAAAGATACAAACATAACCTCTGCCCCACATCATTACTGGATCTGGTCTACACCACTGTCAAAAAAATATTTCTTTTAGAGAGAGTAGATCTTTGTGTCACCTCAGGGCTTGAGATGTCACAAAGCTGTCTCTCAGTTAACTTATTTTCTATCTTCTACTTTTCTACTTAATCTATATCTTCCTTGGACAAAACTTAAGAAATTTAAGAATTTGACTACGCTTCTTTGAGCATTGTTTTAGAGATCCCTTTCCTGAGCGTGGTGATGCACCCAAATATTTTGGGTGCAATACTCTGGCACCCAAATTGGCTGCACTGCTCCCTCTGGAAAGATACAAACATAACCTCTGCCCCACATCATTACTGGATCTGGTCTACACCACTGTCAAAAAAATATTTCTTTTAGAGAGAGTAGATCTTTGTGTTACCTCAGGGCTTGAGATGTCACAAAGCTGTCTCTCAGTTAACTTATTTTCTATCTTCTACTTTTCTACTTAATCTATATCTTCCTTGGACAAAACTTAAGAAATTTAAGAATTTGACTACGCTTCTTTGAGCATTGTTTTAGAGATCCCTTTCCTGAGATCCTGAATTTCCCATGTTTTACACCCAGCTGCTACCAAACCTACCTTACTTTCGCTTTCTGCATGTGCTTCACTGGAGCGTCCTTTCACCTTACAATTATAATTCCGGTACTCAGGCCCCACATTGGGTGCCATATGAACCGTCCTCAGCACAGCCAGTGGTGAACCTGAGGAGGGGTGGTGAAAGATTAAAGAAAACAGGCAAGAGAATTTAGGTGGGGCTAGGTGGGGCACTGTTCTTGGATGGAGAGACAGTGTCATAGCCTGTAAGCTGAGTCTTTATTTTATAGTCAGATCCCACGAGGCAAAGCAAGGGTGTGGTCAAGATGTTTACAATGTTCTTGCGAGTTTCGAATCTACTTAATTTCATGCACCTGAGAACTCTATCAAGCTTTAGTTTGGCAGCACTTGCCCTCTTATTAGTCTGAGGCTTGAACATGTCCAAACTCTGTAGCTGCTCTCCACAGTTGAGCACTTCACCAGGAATGTGGCCACTTCATGTAGGGGGAGTTTTTCATCTCAGTGGTATAGAAATAATTGTCGTTGTGGTTTAATAGATGACAGTTAAAGTGTAAGATCAGTGCCTCCTGATTACAGTGGCCTCCACTTGTCCCAATTTTGAGGTCAGTCTGCTCATCTGACCACCCCAGGGACTCTTTGTCAGTAGCCCCTCATGGAGTGGATGCAGTGGATTGTCTCATTCTGGGGAACATTCCTCCTGTTTTCTGTGATTCCTCAGAGTTCCTTTTCTAAACCTGTTTTGTTGGCTGTCTTTAAGGGTAGGGTCTTTCCTGGACCGTCTGGTGATCCTAGTCTCTATGTACTAGTAAGTGTGAGGTGCTAAAATGCTGATTGAAAAGGGCAGGTGTATATTGAGTGCAGGCTATAGGTAGAGTAATGGACTGGTCAGGGACCTGCCATTTTTTTTTTTAATTTATTGAGAGGGGGTGGAAGGCGGGGAAACAAGTTGTTTTCCATTTATTTATGCATTCGTTGGTTGATTCTTTTTTTAAATTTATTTTTATTGTCTGTGTCCATGGGCTATGCCTATATGCATACAAATTATTTGGTTAATCTCTGCCCATCCCTGCCTGTCCCCTCCCCCTCACCTTCCCTCTGAGATCTGTCTGTGTGTTCCATGCTTCCATGTCTCTGGACCTATTTGTTCATCAGTTTACTTTGTTCATTTGATTCCGCATATAAGTACAGTCATGTGATATTTTTCTTTCTCTGACTGGCTTATTTCGTTTAGCATAATAATCTCCAGGTTCATCCATGCTGTCTCAAAGGATAAGAGATCCTTCTTTTTTACCGCTGCATAGTATTCCATTATGTAAATGTGCCACAGCTTTTTCATCCACTCATCTACGGATTGTTTCCAGATCTTAGCTATTGTAGATAACACTGCTATGAACATAGGGGTGCATATGTTTTTTTCTGATCGGTGATTCAGGATTCTTAGGATATTTTCCCAGACGTTGGATCACTGCAGTTCCATCTTTTATTTTTTTTAGGAATCTCCATACTGTTTTTCACAGTGGCTGCACCAGTCTGCATTCCCACGTCCCAGCAGTGTACTAGGGTTCCCTTTACCCCACATCCTCGCCAAAACTTGCTGTTTGTTGGATTGTTGCTGGTAGACATTCTGAAAGATGTGAGGTGATATTTCATTGTGGTTTTATTTGCATCTCTCTGATGATTAGTGACATTGAGCATTTTTTCATGTCTCTTGGCCATCTGCATGTTTTATTTGGAGAAGTGTCTATTAAGGTCTCTTGCCCAGTTTTTAATTGGATTGTTTGTCTTCCTTTTGTTGAGTTCTATGAGTTCTTTGTATATTTTGAAAATTAACCCCTTATTAGACGTATCACTAGCAAATACATTTTCCCATACAGTGAGTTCCCTTTTAATTTTGAGGATGGTTTCTTTTGCTGTGCAGAAGCTTTTTAGTTTGATGTAGTCCTAATTGTTTATTTTTTCCTGTGTTTCTTTTGCCCTAGAAGATGTATTGGTGAAAATTCTGCTACATGAGATGCCTGAGATTTTACTGCTGATGTTTTCTAAGATTTTTATGGTTTCACGGCTTACATTTAAGTCTTTTATCCATTTTAAGTTTATTCTTGTGTATTGTGTAAGTAGATGGCATAGTTTCATTTTTTGCATGTACCTGTACAGATTTCCCAACACCATGTATTGAAGATTCTGTCTTTACTCCATTATATGCTTTTGACTCCTTTGTCAAATATTAATTGACCATATTGGCGTGGATCAATTTCTGGGGTCCCTGTTCTATTCCATTGATCTTTATGCCTGCTTTTGTGCTTGTACCAGGCTGTTTTGGTTACAATGGCTTTGATATACGATATTGTGATCCCTCCAACTTTGTTCTTCTTTCTCAAAATTGCTGCTACTGTTCGGTGTCCTTTTAGGTTCCATATAAATTCTTGGAATATTTGTCCTAGATCTGTGAAGTATGCTGATATATATTGCTTTGGGTAGTATGAACATCTTAATGATGTTAATTCTTCCAATCCGTGAACACAGTATTTTCTTCCACTTGTTTGTATCTTCCTTTGTTTCTTCTTCTTTTTTTTTAATGTCTTATAGTTTTCTGAGTATAGTTTTCTTTTACCTTCTTGGTTAAGTTTATTCCTAGTTCCTTATAGTTTTCATTGCAATGGCAAATGGGACTGTTTTCTTAGTTTCTTTCTGAGAGTTCATTATTGGTATATAAAAATGCCACTGATTTCTGGATATTAATTTTGTTCCTGCTACTTTGCCAAATTCATTTATTAAATCTAGTAGTTTTTTGGTGGAGTCTTTAGGGTTTTCTATGTACAATATCATGTTATATGCAAATAATGACAGTTTTAATTCCTTCTTTCCAATTTGGGTGCCTTTTATTTTTTCTTCTTGTGTGATTGCTATTGCTAGGACTTCTAGTACTAGGTTGAATAAGAGTGGTGAAAGTGGACATCCTTGTCTTGTTCCTGTTTTTTTTTTTTAATATATTTTATTGATTTTTTACAGAGAGGAAGGGAGAGAGATAGAGAGTTAGAAACATCGATGAGAGAGAAACATTGATCAGCTGCCTCCTGCACATCTCCTACTGGGGATGTGCCCGCAACCCAGGTACATGCCCTTGACCGGAATCGAACCTGGGACCTTTCAGTCCACAGGCTGACGCTCTATCCACTGAGCCAAACCGGTTTCGGCTTGTTCCTGTTTTTTAAGGGAAACTCTTTTAGTTTTTGCCCATTGAGTATGATGTTGGCTATAGGTTTGTCATATATGGCCATTACTATGTTGAGGTATGTTCCCTCTATTCCCACTTTCCTAAGAGTTTTTATTAAGAATGGGTGCTGGATTTTGTCAAATGCTTTTTCTGTATCAATTGATATGATAATGTGATTCTTAAAATTATGTTTCTGTTAATTTTAGAAAGGAAGGGGGAGTGAGGGAGGGAAGGAGGGAGGGAGGGAGAGAGAGAGAGAGAGAGAGAGAGAGAGAGAGACATCGATGTGAGAAACATCATTGGTTACCTTGTATACGTGTCCCAACTGGGGATTGAACTTGCAACCTGGGCACGTGCCCTGACTGGGAATTGTACCAGTGACCTTTTGGTGCATGGGACAGTGCTCAACCAATTGAACCACAGCATCCAGGACTGATCATGTGATTTTTATCCTTCATTTTGTTTATGTGCTAGATCACATTTATTGATTTGCGAATATTGTACCAACCTTGCATCCTAGAATAAATCCCACTTGGTCATGGTGTATTGTTGGATCCGATTTGCTGATATTTTGTTGAGGATTTTAGCATCTATGTTCATCATGCTATTCGCCTGTAATTTCTTTGTAGTATCTTTATCTGGTTTTGGAATTAGGATAATGCTGGCCTCGTAAAAAAAATTTGGAACTCTTCCATCTTCTTGAGGTTTTTGGAATAATTTGAGGAGGATAGTTGTTAGTTCTTCTTTGAATGTTTGGTAAATCTCGCCTGTAAATCTATCTGGTCCAGGACTTTTGTTTGTTGGGAGTTTTTTATATTTTTTTATTACTTC